AGTTTACAAAGCCATATGTGCCTTTATATTACAAAAGTGACAAGCATGAAGCTTTCTGTTGGAATAAACAAAATCCAGTTAAGTCCAGTATTGCTTTAAAGTATAAGACATTGACAGTTATAAGCAGAGAGAAAAAAAGTTATTTTATTCTTGCCAAGTAAAAAAAAAAAACATTAGAAAAATGTCAATAGCTGCATATTAGTTATGGATGCAAAATAAGTGTCTTTAAGGACAAGAAAAAAAAATCAATTTCTTGGTGTATTTCTTCTTTCTTGAGTTCTTTTACTCTTTCTAGAGGAGTACATTAAGTATTCATTTTCTCATTGGACATTGAGATGATCCTAAAAGAATCAGAAAACCTAAAAGGATTTATTTAGTATCTGTCTATATTTCTGAGATGAGGTATTATGTACACTATTTACATTGTTCAGACTATTGTTTTCATCTTTGTTGCCATATTTATCACAACATTTCAGCCGTTGTACGCTTCAGCCTTCTTTAGGTGGTTGGAATGTTGAACTAAACCCCTTATTTTGCTCGCTGGAGTAGAGGAAAGAGAAGGATAGTAAATGAGCAAGAATCATGATTATTCATGTCCAAGGACATGGCATATGAAAGCAGAGTTTTTTTTCTTCACTTTTTTGTTTTCTTTTCTTTTATCTTTTTCTTCTGTTTCTTTTTTATATTGCTTTTACAATTACAATTTCTATCCTTATTTCTCTTGTACCTTTTCTACTTCCCTCTCAGTGTTTTTTTGGTTTCAGTTACCCTATTACTCTCTCTCTCTCTCTCTCCATCTCCCTCTCCCTTATTGATTTCCTTTACTCTTCTTATCTTCTGGCTTCTTGATTCCTGTTCTTTTATTGTTCTCTCTCTTTAATAATGTTTTCTTTCCTCATATTATCGCACACTCAGTAACCCCTTACATCTTAGTGGCTTTATAGCCTTGCTTAGGGTGAACTGATTAAAAAAAAATTCCTTCTATTTCACTTTTTCTCTTTCTTTATTGTTTGCTTTCTGTCATTTTTGTTTGTCTTTGTTTCTTGCTTGCTTTCCTTCTTTCATTTCTAAAAACTTTTCTGTTTCTTTTTTGTATTCTTTTACTCTTTCTCACTCTCTCTCTCTCTCTCATTCTTTTTCTGTTTCTTTCTTTAAATCCAGAAAGATTGAAGAATGCTCCCTTTCTTTTACTCTCCCTCACACTCTCCTCTTTTCAAAAGGTACAAACACGTCATTTGAGTAGCACAGATTTGACAGTAAGTACATGCTCACAGATGTTCAGATGTTATTCCTATAGAAGGTGAAATTGGTCAGCTAAGTTCAAATTCTGGCCAAGTCTGTTGTGTTCACTTTGTACTAATACCTTTGGGAATTCATTTTTCTGCCTCTGGTGATGGATAAAATAACAGCACAAAATGGGACCTCTAACATTGGATCATATTTAATGGTAGCCTGTCTATGAGAAAGAAAACTTTGAATTCAAACCAATTGAGCATATAGACATCAATTGTGAAGTGGCGGCTCTTTGACTATCAGTCTTTAGTTTCACATGATGGATATGCCTCCATCAGGAGAAACACCTACTTAAACGGTGATGGCATGGTGAGTTTGTGTGTGTGTGTGTGTGTGCATGTTAGTATCTTCATATATTTGTGCGTAAGAATGTGTCTCATGATGTCAGGGTCTACACATTAACAATTAATAGCTTTAATGGCAAGAAAGAAATAAAGCAAATACCTTATTCTCTCTCTTTGTTCTTTTTTTCTTTTTCTTAATTTTTTCTTTCTCTCCCTCTGGCCTCCATTTTTCTATTTTTTATTTTCCAGATCATTCTCCTTTTTCTCTATCATTTCACTCTCTCCATTCTTCTCCCTTTTTCTTTTACACTCATTTTCTTGCATATTTTTTTTCTCTTTTATCCACTTTTATACTTTTTCTTTTGCTCTTATTTCACTTTTTGTCTTTTTTCTTTGCTTCATGCTTTCCTTTTTTACTTTGATTTTTTTCTTACCATCTTTAACTTTTATTTTTTAAAACAATTATCATCCATTTTCTTTTTTTCTTCTTCTTCCTCTCTTTTCTCTACTATTTCTCTTGTTTTTTGTCGTCATCTTTACTTCTCCTCTTCTTTGTCTCATTTGTTCTTCTTGTCTCTTTTAATCATTCCCTTTCTTTCTCCACTAATTTCTTTTCTCTTCGCTTTCCATTTCTGTTTTATTCTTCATTCTTTCTTTCATTTTATGTCTTTAACTTTTTTTTATTCTTTCCTAATCTTCCTCATCCTTTCTTTCACTCTTCTTTCTTTCCTTACTGTCTCCAGCTTTCTTTTCATTCATTTTGTCCTTTTCTCTTCCTCTTCTCTTTCTACAATTGTCTTTCTCCCCTCCTTTGCTTCTTTGTTTTACTGTTTTTTGTTTAGATTTTCCAGTTTCCTTCCTTCTCTCTCTCTCTCTCTCTCTCTCTCAAGTACACAATTGAAGCAAAAAAATCTAAAACTTATTAACAAACCTTGATAACCATAACACCAGTTTTCTAAGGCCAAAATTTTTGAAAATAACACCCCTCCCACCTACACAGAATTATTACAGTCATTTGGTACATTAGAGTATGTCAAGAATTTACAAAGAGTACATATCTATGAACAAGTCAGCAAATAGGTTCATGGTTCAAATGCAGCAGCAGGACACATTTCAAATAATGAAGTTTATTCCTGGAGGATATGTGCTAATGCAGAGGAATTTAGCACATAAAAAATAATTCAATTTTCTGATTCAATTAGCAATCAGTACATTTAAATACTTGTAAAATCAGATAGCAAATATGAATAAATATCTCAGATTCTAAAAGGAAATAAAAAGTTAATAGCAGTGGGTGCTAACTTTGAAAGACCAACTTAAAGCTCAAATACCTCATCATAGGCAGGAAATCAATGAAGCTGTGTTTTTACTAATTGACTTGTTTAAATGTAGTTACAATCCAGGAGTAGCCAAGGGTAGACTATCTGTTAACAGTGCAGAAAATATAACTGACAAACTAGGTTCAAATTCCAATGCAAATAGTGTATGCATTTTACACTAATGGCATTGGGAAAGAGATGACTTAATCTCTTCTTTCCTCAATTCATAGCAGGCTATACTTGTTTTCTAGCCTTGGTTGGCAATCAGTCTAGAGGAAGGACAACATTGAATTCAAAACCATTGAGAAAACAATAAGAAACCAGTACACTGTATTTCCCAAGAAGGTTTAGATATTAAACAAAAGGAAGTATTTTTCTTTCTTAATTTGAAGCTCTTCTCTCCATGAATGATCTGCCATGACTAATCAAATTTTGAGAGTAAAAGGTGGTCACCAATCCTAGTGGAATGAAGTTAAGATTATTATTATTGTATTGGAGAATAAGTGGACTGAAAGGGTCAGGTCACATGTTAGACTCTGACAACCCCCTCAATGGACCTAGCATAAAGATGAGCATCATCTTGTAGCTTCTGATTAAGACAAAAAGGATACTAAAACATTTCATCACCTGACTACAGTCATTAAATTTAAGGCTCTAAAATTTCACCACTGGATTGTATGAGACAATGCCTAGTGGATTAAAGTCAGTGGTTCACTGGTATTTGTGAGTTTAATCACTGTGTAAGTCAGTAGAAGGAATGGACTAGCATCACAAAGGTAAACATATTGGAGAGTATTAACTGATACAAGATATCCCCTAAGCATGGAAAGAGAACACCTTATCTTTGTGGATTTAATAATACGTCAAGTACTGAATTTTAAGAAGGTTACTGTAATGATATTAAGTAACTGCGTAAGAAGCATAGCTAAGGTAAAGACTATATAAATGCTAAAGAGTAGAGCAGTTTTCAGCATGCGAGATAAACTTATAAAGTACGAAGGAAATCACACTTCATAACAGTTATTAAATATGATGAAATCTGAAAGTAAGTAGACAGCATAATGACTGAAACATGAGTAAAACAATCACGATACTTTAAAGAGAAAGGCATGAGCAATATTTGTAACTTGGAAAGAAAATAATTATATAATCAAGATGTTAACTTTCCACACTACCAAAAACAAAAGATTTGGAGGGAAACTCCCAAAAATACTATTTAGAAAGAGCAATAACAGTGGATTTGAAGCAAAATTTTATAAATTTTAAATGACAGTACTAATAACTGTCTAGTCAATGAATGCTGAATGTTTCCTGCATGAAAATGACTAATTTTACCATAACTATATAATACTGTTAGTACTGTATTATATAATTGATTGATCTGATATGTTTGAATAGATATCGGGCTGTTAAGCTTAGTCCTTTATGACTCCTTTAAGGGGATTATTTAAGTTGAAACAGGTAGTACAGGGTCCAGGGTTGGTTATAAAACCATCAATGAATAGTATGTCTGGGTTATATGGTACCAATGACCAAGACATTACATTCACTTATGCACAAATGCTCTTGAGAAAAGTATGAAACTATCTCTTTGTCTACTCTAGCTATGGATTAAACAGTTGGTCAAACTGGGACTTTTAGCCTTGGTTGGCAGCCTATCTAAGAGAATGACAATTTTGAAATCAAAACCTGAGGAGGTCTGTTTGTGCACCAGTTCTCTGTATTTGGTTATTTGGAAAAGTGTGTTTGGTTCTGCACAAGCCTTCATCACTTCATCATGTGTGAGTAGTCTGACTGTTCAGTTCTAAGAACTGAGCTGCTGGACCCTCATATATTGAAAATTATGATTGATTTGTTTTCTATGTGTTATCAACCTATTGGTAGTTATTTAATGCCATCATATATTTTTAGATTGTAAGAATTCTTTTTGATGGGGGGATAATAATGGTTCCATGATACAAGTCTCACCCATAGCTGGTGAATTCATACCTTTCCAAAGAGTATTTATACATAAGTGAATAAAACAAACCCAACTGGAATTGGAACTCAGCTCAATAATTAACAATTCTGAACCATTCTTCATTACACCATCCACACATCCAAGCTTACTGCACCTGGTATTTCCAAGCAGTCACCCACCTAGGTACTGACTAGGCTTGATGTTCCTTAACTTTGGTGATCGTATGGGAACCAATGTTTCAATGTAATGTGGCCATATGCCAAAGATTTGTGGGCTTGTCTAACAGATCATTACTATTGTGTAGCAAGTTCAATGCCTGACATTTGTGGCCTTGTTCCAGACTAAGCTAAACAGAATGAATACTTCTATGCTTATCCACTGTAAGAGAAAAATCTGACCTAAATGAAAAGGAATTCAAAATAGGATAGATGAATAAAAGAGATGAAAAAAATGAAAGCAAAATGGGTGATAAAGAAAGTTTGAAAATGACAGAGAGAAGTTAATAGAGAAAAAGAAAAAAAAAGAGACTAAAGAAATAATGATAGTAAAAGAGAGTGTCTTGTCTTATCCACTTTCTCTTTCTTTCAATGTTTTTATTTTTTCTCTTTCTTTAGTTCTTTTGTTTTTGTTTTCAATCTCTGACATCAAAGAATACTTGAAACGAAACCAAATTAAAATCTCAATGTAAAAGAAGTCCAAAGCAATGGCCAACATGTCTTCTTGACAAGAACCATGTGGATTTTTGGTATACAATCATAAATACAAATAAAGAAAAAAATAGTTCCACACCTACTCTTGGCAGACAAGAGATTAGTCACTAGAATAAACAAGAATTTGTATAAGCATAGCTGACACTTCTTCTATATACCATGTCCCTTCTGGATGTGGGTGCTCATGATTTTCAACAACTTCCTATTCTTTCGACTATTTCTCTTAAGAATCTGTGGTGGTAAAGCAATGACTCAACTGATAGTAGCAGATAGGAAAAATGCGAGGAGGGTAACCAACAAAACAGTGTCACACGTCCAACCTTCTCACGAGCAAAAAACCCAGTCCTCAGAAACAAAAGCGTGCCTGCTTTATACAGCCAAGGACCGACCATGATTTGCATACGAATGATGAGACAATGAGATTTCGCGTTAACTGTCCGAGACCGCCTGGCATAAAACATAGGTGCTGCCATTTTGGTTCTTTTTTTTACCGTTGAGCAACCGGAGTTTGCACGACACACAGATTCGCGCACGTTTCTGAGGTAGGCCATTTTCACAATTTTCCCCACAGAATCACCTATCATATATCAGCTTTAAAAGCGATTAAAATACTCACATTTCTGTTGATCAGGTTTCTGCACTTTCTTCTGCAACCAAACAATGCCTGAATGCAACATTGATTTGAACAAGTTTCTCCTTTCTTGTTCTTGTGTTTCAACCACTGTAACTTCTGGCCTTCTTCAGCTTTCATTATTAAGACCAGACAATAATGATTCCAATCACAGCTCTCCACAACTTTCTATCCTTTGTAGTTCTAAGTAATATTTGTCTTGTATCCCTCCTATCACCCTTCTCGCTGTTCTGACATCCATTTACACAACCTCATTAAGTCAGTTACTTACTGCTTCCCTGTTCTTTTCACCTTCAGTATATTCTGTGAGTATCAAATTCGCTAAGCCTTTTTTCCTATTATGCATCTTAGAGATTTCAACTGTTTCTTTTTTTATTCTAAGTGCTAGTATTCTTTTCTTTCTATTTTTCTTGAAACTTCTTTGTTGTGCACATGTTCCATCCATGGTATCCTCAACATTCTTCTAGAGAACCAGATATCTGTTGCCTCAAGTTTTCTCAAATATGTGAGGAAATTGCCCAGCATTCATTTCCATATAGAAGGATTGATATTACAAAGAAGTCCAGTGCACATTTCTTTGTTTCTGATAACATTTTTACTATTTCTTAATACGTTATTTAGTTTTTGAAAGGTATCTTTTCCTATTTCTATGCATCTTTCGATTTCTATGTCACATTTTCCAATGTGTGTTAAGTTAAATCTTTTTTCTTGTTTGATTTTGACATCTCCAATTTATAGCTCACATCTTGGGCTGTTCCTTTTGCTAATGACCATACATTCTGTCTTACAAATGATAGTCCTTTCTTTCTGCTTTCTTTTACTCTAGTAGTTCTTGCAGTTTTCATTCTATGTCTGTCATCAACACAGTGTTATCTTTTAACATATTTATTTCTTGATATTTGAGTTTAGTTTGGCACAATGTTAAATTGGAGGGAGAAAAGGGGAATAGAGAATATTATCAAGTGAAGAGGGGCTGTCTGCTTTGAAAATCAGTGTTCAAGATCCTGGCTTTTTATACCTGGGTGTGTCCATGTCCCATGACCTTGTGTGGTTGTAGGTTCAATGTGCAATGGAGCATCTGACCAGCTCCCTTCACATGACTCAGTAGGTTTTTATTCCTGCACAGCATTTCTTGGATAAAGTAGACCTGGTGGTGCCCGTCCCTCTTAAGGTCAGATCATACCTGATATCCTTCAACATGAAGGCTCACTTTGGTCATGGATATGAGCCCATTGATTCCATCAGAAGAACCCTCTGCCCTGGCCACTGAACATCCACTACTGACAAAAAGGAACTCAGATCCTAAATGTTGAAAGCTCATCTTACAATGCAAATTTATAATCATTGTATCTTCTTTTTTCAGATTGTTTTATTTTTGACGAGCAGCATGGCCCAGCATTGCCTGTGCTTGATTCAAAAATCGTACAACTCATACAGCAATTTGCCCTCCCTTGCCTTTAAAGGAGTGCCCTTTGCCATGCTGATGTTGCTACATGCCTTACTTCTTGCTTATCTCACACTGCAAATTTTTTCTAAGCTCTATACTAAACATTAAATCTGTTACGAAAAAAGAACTAAACAAAATGAACACAAAACGATCAGCTTTAAAAAAGGACTCATAACTGGAAAAACCGAATGAAAAAAGAATGTTAACAACAAATACTTTTTTACACCCAACCCAGTTCTGCAGAATCAGAATCAACGTTGAGTTTAAGCAAGCGAATGAGCCAATTGGAGTAAAGTGCCATGCAGATTTAAATTTTTCCCACTTGTGACGAATGCAGCTATCGATTTTTTTTGCATGCTAGTTAACATTCGTGTCAGTCAGCTGTTGGCTCTCACGCTGGCCAATAGAATCTTCCTGCCTATTTGTGTCAGCCAGCTTTAGGCTCTTAGTCTGGCTAGTAGAAAATGGCCGCAAACTACATGAAAACTGCCGTAGAAGCATGAAAAAATTGATTATTTCCACTATTGATGGGAGTTGGGAAATGCAAAGTTGGTCTTGACCTTCCTGCTAACTTGGAGCATGTGCATGTAAATTTTGGTGCAAATCCGTCGAAAATTGTGGTTGTGCATTTGTTACACACACACACACACACACACACACACACACACACACACACACATCCTGCCTTTTATAGATAGAGATTTGTTGACATTTGCTCAAACAGTTGAAGAGTTTATTGACCAAGAGTTATTTTTATACTAAAGTTCACTTAATACAAGGCACGAGAGCCACTCAAGGTAGAAAGTTTGTTAAAGTGGTTAGGATCAATGAGATGTGCATGAGTGAAATAGAATTTGGTAGGAAGTGAAGAGTATAAGGATATAGAGATAAAGACTGACATTAGATCTGAAGACATAAGATTGTAGTGTTTAGGGAAGCATCAACAGGAGAGACTGTTCCACAAAGTAACAGTCCTTGGGAAGGAGTTTTCTTTTCGGAACCTTCAACTTGTATTTGAAACACTGGGAAAATGAGGGCAAGTCGACTCCTTGGAAGATAGCTTGGCATGTCTTAGCAGTAGAGGTTTGAAATGGGGGAAATAAAGAATGGAGTTCATTTCAACATTTTCCATGGAAATAGTGGTAGAATATTGGCATTAAAACCAAAAATAACAAGAAGTAAATCTATTACCAAGAGTGGTGAAAAGTTTTCATCCTGACCCACTTCCCAAAATCTGACCAAATGATCACACTTCAGATTCTACTTTTTAGAAAGGCTTTTTGGTTGTTACAAGAACTTTTCAGCAACCCTCATAATAAAATAATAATGAAGAGCGTATCTAGCCAGAGTGATGTAATAAAGAGTAAGAATAACAGGGAGTAAACTTGTAATAAAATAATAATTGTGAATATTCATTGCTACTCTAATATTCATGAACATAATCAATTGTTTTAAATCCTTTTTATTGGGTTGGTGCATACTTATCAGGCATTTTTAAACAATATTTATTATAAAAAAGAAATATGACAATTCAACAATAACATTTTTAAATGATTATTGTGGAGTGTATGATTATTGACACACATTTTTACAACCTGAAAATAAAGTAATATTTTTATTAAAAAAGTAAACAAAACAGCAATTTTATTAACAAATAACTTATCTACAAAAACGCCTGATAATTATGCACCAACCCACTATATATCAACAATTTCTATTATTCATATTTTTTACAATAATGTTCACCCAGTACAACCAAAAAAAAAAAAAAAAAACATGGAAAAAAATTAAATAATGCCCCTGGTCTTACAAAGGATAACAGCTACATCATGTTGAATTACCAGTTCCCATATGATCACCAAAGTTAAGCAATTTCAAGCCTTGTCAGTACTTAGATGGGTGACCACTTGGGAATACCAGGTGCTGTAATGAATAATGGCTCAGAATTGTTAATCAGAGAGCTAAGTTCCAATTCTCGTTGGGTTCATTATATTTACTTATGCACATTACCCATTACACCACAACACACACCCACAAACATAACATTACATATAGAAAAAAATAATGTTTCATCTGTTTGTCAGGTTAAAGAAATAGTGTGCTGTGTCTGGATCATTAAACTAAATAAGATTTTTACCATTTTATAAAAGTTAAACAAGTTTATCAAACATGAGTTTGTTTACGCTAAGAGGAACATAGTGGTAAATAAGTTGGTTGATACTATTGTTGCAGTAGAGGATTGCCCTATTAAAACTAAAGTTGAATTTTGGACTAAAATATTTCCTGTTGGTGTACTTTTACTCTTAATTGATTATGTACATTGAAATAGAAAAACTATTTACAAACATTCCCAGACTCTAGAAGGCACAAAATAAAACAGATGCTTATAAATAAGTTTCAAATAAGTGATGATGAATCAGATTCTTTTACTTGGTCACCCAATTTGTGACAGAAATTATTTATTTAAGGAAGTTGCTGAAAAAAAAAAAAGAAACAAAGAAAAAACCCTAAATCAGTTGAATGTAGCCAGGAAAAACAAAAAGTGAAAAACTTGAAAATTAAGAATTTAACAGGAAATGAATAAGATGATAGAAATAGCATGAACACACACACACACACACACACACACAGAGTTCATAAGTTTGAAGCCACCCATGAATTAGCATTGGGATGAACAGAAGAGTGAAACCTTTCCATCCAAAAACGAAAAAGAAATTTTAGAGTCATTGAAAAAACAATGGAATCAATTATCAAACTTATACTTTGAGAAACTTTTGCAACAAATGCCAAAAATTTGTGCTGCTGTAATCAAGGCTAAAGGAGGATATTTTGATGAGAGCAAAATTTAATCATAAAATGCTTTTTCCTTTTTTTTCATAATAAAATTCTAATAAAACATCATGTCTCACTTTTTAACTGAGTATAATAATTTTCTCTTATTTAAAGTATAAAAGAACTACTTTTGGGGCCAATTTAAAAAATTATCAGGATTGGTCTCAAATTTTTGAACTGTACCATACATATATGCAGGATCAGTGTGTACTAACCCCCCACCTCATTTTTTTTACTTATAGTCCACATGTAATAATCTTTTTTGGTACTATCAGTTTCACACAGCTCTGATGCTTAAATGATGAATCTTGTTCAGTATAAGAAATATACCTGAAATAACATCACAAAAATATATGTATGAGAGGGTACTGAAAAGTTCTTGACCCAACTAATATGAGTTTTTTTTTAAATTCTGATGTTTGGCAAAGAACATTTCATCAACCCCTGTATATACACACACACTCATAAAAATATAGAAAGAGTCTTTACAATGTTCACTTTCTATATATCTATATATATATATATGTTTCATAGATTATATCAAACAGAATATTTTTGAAAGTTTTTTGTTCAGGTTTTTAGTGTTCTTAGAATGTTTTTCTTTTTCTGATAAATAAGAATGTTCTCATAAAAGAAAAACTGTAAGAACACTAGAAAAACTGTATAAAAACTTACAAAATATTCCTTATCCCTTGTATTCAAATAAACATATATAAAAGAAAGAGTGCTGCCCAGATATACAACCTCTATCATTCTATCTCTCTCTCTCTCTCTCTCTGTGTGGAGATGCTGGTTGAGTGGCAGTTACAAGCAAGAAAAACAGAGTTGGTGAAACAAATGTAAATTTCAGTTGACTGCTTATATTCCCTTTACAATAATGTTTTCAAGAAAGATGTAATTCCTTTTCTCATGGTGCTCAGTTTCATCACTGGCATGCAATAATAGAGTAGTAAGGTGAGCCCTTGGATAAACCATTCACTTCTAACTACCTTACTACCCTTCCCAGATAGTAGCAACAAAAATGTTAATACAAGGTTACATCATAACGTGCACACACACACATCATACATACATGCATAAACAGATTTGTACAATCATAAACATCCATAAACTCATGCTCACACACAATCATACATGGACATAAAGTTACAACTAAACTAGATATATTTAAACTGATTTATATCAGAATATAAAATCAAGATGTATTTTCACTTTTGCTAAGTCAGATGGGAAATCACTTAGTATATGGAATTTCCCATGATGCATCAGGATATCCTGAAGGCATTCTTCAAAGTGAAGCAATTTGCATATTAAAACCAGATGGATTTCATTGAAGAAAGAAAATTTCAGTAATCCAGAATAACAACTCTTTAGATGATTCACTTCTGTTAATAAATGGATATTTATAATTTACATGTATAAATCATATGTGCATGAAAAGAAAATTGATACTGTACATGTGAAACAATTTTATGGGTTGTAATTTTTATATTAAACATGATAACTAATCAGTAATCCGGCTACTTTAAATATTTCTTGATAAATAAAATTTTGCGAGTTGCCTGGTTGAAAGAAAACATTGGGTGAAGGAAAGTGGCTGAGGACAAATGAATGATATAAAAGACACAAAAGATTTAGAGTAGACTTAATAAAATGACGACAGACACATGCCCCTGGTTTCCATGACTGAATTAGTTCAGGCATCATCCATGAAAGATGAGTTCCTGGAATTTAACATGTAAGTTCAAGTTTTCTTAGAAGCTGTTACATTTTTTTTTTTTTTATTATTATTGGATTTGGACTGTCACAATAAAAATGACAACAATACACTGAACAAAAAATGAGTTAAATAATGAAAATACTTAAACACATAATTCAAATAATTTAAGATAATATGGTATTAAAAACTACTGTGCATGACTGAGTAGAGAGTTGACAATTTGAATATGCAAATTTCTTTGAGTAGAGAGATGGCAATTTGAACAGGCAAATTTCTTTGAGTAGAGAGATAACAATTTGAATATGTAAATTTCTTTGGGTAGAGAGGTGACAATTTGAATGTAAATTTCTTTGGGTAAAAAGTTGGCAATTTGAATATGCAAATTTCTTTGAATAGAGCATCAATATGTATATTTTTCAGAAAATAATTTCTAATAATACAATAAATACAAATGAAGAGTTATAAATATTGTGTATTTAATGTAAAAGCAAAATAATGTTCAATAGAATAATACATACAAAAAATACTAAGCAAAATTTTAAATTATCCTCCACATTTTTGTGGTTGTATGACTGTAATGTCTTGTAATTTAATTTTTTTTTTACTATTATTTCCTTCATCATAATTAAAGTTGGTTTTTAACACAATTTTTAACACTGATGTTCATTAGTAAACAATGAAGATCAGAAATAAAGAATAAGCCTCTAGCGAGATGTTTGCATATATACTTATATACAAAGTGTGACAATTCAATTCCAAGAATGACTGAATAATATCACTAGCATAATGAGTCAAGCAAATATTTGTGCTCATGCATGTGCAAACATATTACAATATCAGTTTTCTTGAGATGCAGACTAGATGATTCGCTTGTTGCCAAGCAGTAGAAGAAATTGTATACATTCATGTTATACTGTTAGTGGAAAATTAGTTAAAGGTATTTGGAGCAGAGAATTAATATCAGGTTTTGTGTGAAATTTGTAAAAGTACTAATGATTCGATTAAAAACTTTTTATTCTAATAGGATGAAAACCACTCTTTCAAACTTTCCTTTTCTCATAATAATCGCAGCAGAAACGCTATTACCACAATAGATGACTTAACATGGGCCAATAATATATACCGATATATACACTACAAGCTACTCAAAAGTTTCAGGAGTTTAACCATAAAAAAATACTTATAACACCTAGTTTCCATTGTCTCCTTGAAAGTGTATATATATATATATATATATATATATATATATATCAACACATATATAATATTTTTTAATGAATTCAATAGATTTATTTGACCTTGACGAGTTGTGCATCTGCAAAATCTGAAGGTGGAAGATGAACATTTTGAAATTGATGATTTGTTTACAAAACTTTACTCACTTTAAATGCATTGATATCCAGTAATTTACCAGTCAATGTGCTTTGTCAAGCATTCACAATCTGTTATACATATATATATATATATATATATATATATATATATATATATATATATATATATATATATATATGAGGTTTTAAGGTATGCTATACTTATGGGTTAAAGTGCTTAATATCAAAAATAGAGCACATAGAATATAAAAGTGAACAGTGAAGTCAACACCCAGAAACAACAGTTTGTTTCATGCTTTATATTTTGATGGAATTATTTATCCATTTTTATTTCTTATTACTATAAATATTATTGTTAGAGTAAAAACTGGGATAGCAACTCAACTCAAACATATGTACCTACTAAAAAATAATGTTTATAGCATTTATATATATATATATATAGTTGTCCTGATGTAAGTTTGTGATCCTGGGTTTCATGCTATTTGTGATCATCAGACAAACTTATTAATTTTTAAATTTTGGATTTATATATGGTTGCATATATTGGTATTTTTATGGAGGTGGGAGGAAAAACGCAACTCATACTTGTGCAAACATACATACATGCACGTACACTCATCGACGTACGCAGACACACAGACATGCAAGTTCACTCACCGGAGCTCACACAAACATAAACATATGTGAATGGTGTGGGATTGGGCATATATGATCATATACATGTCGTTGCACACACACGTATGCATTTGGTCTCTGTATTCAATGTTGGACTGTGTAGCAAATATTTCCTTGTCTGTTGCGCTGTCAACGTGCAGACTGTTTTTCTATTTTTGTTTGCTGAATAATATTTTCTTGCATGCACGTATATACATAGGATGGGGACTGTGTAAGACTATGATAGGTAAAACTTGATATTATTTTTAACTTTTTAAGGCTGTTTTATTATTTTAAAGTCGGTTATATACTTGTTTTTGGTGATTACGCATATGCAAATGGTAGAAATTCCAATTTGTAATACTTATTAGTATTTATTCAGTGGT